TTCCATGAAATGTCCAGAACAGGGCAATCCATAGAGACAGAAAGTGGATAGGTGGCTGAGAGGTTGTGCGGCAGAGGGAATGGGGAATGGCTGATGGGAACAGGTTTCCTTCAGAAGTGATAAAAAAAAAAAATCTTCTGAAACCAGAATAAAAGCAAAGGTTTTACACATTAGGAACGTACAAATGTCACTGAATTGTACACTTTAAAAGCACCAACTTCATGCTATGTGAATTTCACCTCAATTTAAAAAGAGAATGAATGGGCCAGGCACAGTAGCGCACACCTGTAATCCCAGCATTTTGGGAGGCCGAGACAGGTGGATCACTAGAGGTCGGGAGCTGGAGACCAGCCTGGCTAACATGGTGAAATCCTGTCTCTACTAAAAATACAAAAATTAGCTGGGCATGGTGGTGGGTGCCTGTAATCCCAGCTACTTTCGAGGCTGAGGGAGGAAAATCGCTTGAACTCGGGAGGTGGAGGTTGCAGTGAGCCTGGCAAAGGACGAACGGCACTCCAGTCTGGGTGACAAAGAGACTCCATCTCAAAAATAAAAATATAAATGGAATGAATCAAGCTTGATATAATAGGAAAGAAGGGACCCTGAGATAGGAATCGCTGACTCACCAGCTGTGCGGGTGCAGGAGAGGGAGAGTCCGGGATGACTCAGGGTTTCAGCCTGAGCTAGTCGGAAGAGGAGGGAGCCAGGAACAGACACCAGCAAAACAATGGAGGAACAGGGCCGGGGCCAGGGCACTGTAACTCTTGCCCCCATCACCAAGGGTGGCTCCACTGGTCCCTGCAGCCACCTCCTCTGAAGCAGGCTCCCAGGGCCCCAAAGTGAGACCCAGGCAATGCTGGGGACACTTCCAGGCCACCGTGAGAAGTGGCAACTTAGCAAATGTCCGCCAGGTGCTAGCAGCTGTGCCCCCTCACAGGCTCCTCCTAACCTGCCAGCTTCCTAACTTCATATCTGCTTTCTCCTCACTGCAAAACAGACACACAGGTCTAACATAGACCACCCCCGGGCAGTTTCAGAGCCACAAAGAGAGCAGAGATTCCCTCTGGGGCCTGAGCCAGGGCTCTGGCCTCAAACCGAATGGGCTCCTGGGTGAAACTGCTGCGACCTGAGGGGAGTTCCTACACGTGTGCGAGCCTCAGAAACTTCACCTGTACCTGAGAGGTGCTGTCAATTTACTGGTTACGGCAAGGCGCCGTGGAGTGATTTCTCTTGCTGGCCAATTTCACTTCAATTTGCACCTGACACAATCAACACTGGCAAAATTAACAAAACTAGACAAACACAGCCTCAGGACCATGCCTCGCTCTTGGCCAGTGTTCACCTTCTTTCTTGTCCATGCTGTGTTATGCTAGGGAAGTCACTTCCCCTCCCAGGCTCTCCGTCATCTCCTCAGTAAACTGGGAGCACAGAATAAAGCACGTGGGAGGAGTAAAGGGGACATTTTGGTCGCCCACCACTTGTTCACTGCATAACGATAATTCCAAGAGCGGCATCCCAGTCAAGACCCAGGCGCCGATCTAAGCGCGTTTCAGCCTCAAGCGACGCCTACGAGACTGAGTACGTCATCAGCCCCATTTCGTAGCAAAAGAAAGGGAGGCACTGAGCGATCAGGCAGCTGGCCCGAGGTCGCCCCGCGTCCCAGCGGAGGACGTGGAACTCCGGGCCGGTCGCGAATCTGCGCGCCAGAGCATGCGCAGAGGCCGCGCGCCATCGGGGTCTTCAAGGACCTGCGCAGTTCCTGGCGAGATCGAACCCAGACTCCACCCAAGGGTCCCCACTCCCCAACTCCGCTGCCCGTCCTCTCCAGTCCTCTGGCGTCCACAAATCCAGACCTGTGGGCGCCTCAACTCACCCAGCTCCGCGCCCGGAGAAATCCGCCATTTTCCCGCCTTCCTTCTCAAGCGCGCACCCGCCGGCTTTTCAAAGCCCGACACGCCCCCTTGCTTGCGGGCCGGACCATTTGTGGAGCTGCAGGAGGTGAAGCTACGGGGCGTGGGGCAGCGCCGGCTGCGTGCGGAAAGTGCGGCCCCCGACGCTCGCCGCCTGTCCTTCCCTCGCGCTTGGTCTCGCCCACCAGGGGCAGTAGTGGCGGCGCGGTGGGTGGGGCCTGATCTGTCGGCAAGTAGGGGCGGGGGCTTTTCGCGATGCTCCGCCCACTCGGCGCGCTGGCGTCACGCCCCTGGCCCCGCCCCTCCGGAACCCGGAAGCGGGAGCGCGCGGGGGAGCGGCGGGCGCGGCGCGGCGGGGCGGAGCGGCCTGAGTAGTGGCGGGCGGGCAGGCGGTCATCCGCCCGGGGACCCGGCCCGGGACCGGCGGCGCGCGGTGGCCGAGGCCAGGTGAGTTCCAGGCAGCTTCGGGTTGGCGACTCGAGCTCGAAGCATGCCTTTGGGGGCTGCGGAGAAGAGGGACGGAGCTGAGGGCTAATGGGGGACGCGCTGGCAGGGGGTCGAGGGGGCGGGAACGATTCTGAGGGTCTTGGAGAGGTTGCTGGGGATGAGGTGGAAGCGACCTGATGAAGAAGAAAGTGGATGGGGATGGAGCTGGTGAGGGAGTTTGCGGGCGTGGGGGGGTGAGTCTTGTGGCTTTGAGCTGCTTCTCTGAAAAGGACGTGGCTTAAGTGGTAATTGGGGGGTCGCAGGAAACGGCGTTGTGGGGAGGCGAGGAGGCGGGAACCAGAGGCCCAGGTTGGGGGAGTGGGCAAGGCGAGTGGCGGGACAGCTGGGGTGCGGTTGGGGGGAAGGGGTGCGGGACCGATCTGGGGCGTCTGCCCGCGCGGTTGAAGGAAGGGTGTCTGAGAAGAGGGCGGCACCTGGCCCCCAGCGGGCGCTCAGTAGATGCGGGGGTTCTGAACTTACTGATGCGGCAGCTATTGGGAAGCGGGGAAACGGGAGCTGGAAGGGAAGTAAACGGAGTAGAAGTCAGGGTAAGAACTGAGTGTAGGTTCAGAGAGGGAGGGCCTGGAGAAGCGGGAAGAGAAGGAAGGGGTCAGAGTGACCCTGTGCAGATGTTAAGGTGCAGCCTCTGGAGATTCCGTCCCCCCACCATCCCCTCTTGATTCGTGTCCTTCCTGACTTCACACCCAACAGCTGGGTGACCCGGGACGAGTCCCAACACCCTATGTGCCAGTCTCTTGGTCTTGGAAACTGCACCACCCTCCCCTTAAGACAGGACTAGCGGGATTCTGGGGGTCCCTGGGTGCAAGGAAGGAACCTCAAGGCCGGCTGTGCGGCCGGAACTGTGTTTCAGGAGGGAGTGTGCACGCACCCTCATGTACAGGACTGTCACCACCTCCGCAGAGCTGCATCCTTGGACTTAAATGGGTAAAACGACATACAGGAAATCTGTCCCCCGGTTGCTCTGAGCTCAGCCCTGGAGAGGCATGCCAGCCACGAGCCCTCATTTCTTTCCTGGGCACCCTGGAGGCCAGGGGTCTTTAAGGGAAGGCTTCTCTGTGCCTCTTTGAGGTGGGAGCCAGTGGGGACACTGTGTTTTGCTGCTGGAGGGTCCCAGCTCGCTTCGTTTTTTGGTGTTGGAATCTTCAGAATCTTAAGGTGTCCAGGAGCAGCAGGAGGTGGCCTGGGTGACAGGAAAGTTCTTCACGTCTGACAGGCCTGGCTCTTGTGGCCCTGGCAGGGACTCTGCAAGGTGGTTTTGATTGGCATTCATTTCTCCCCTTTCGGGACTATAGGGATCTTTATCTGGGATCTGCCAGAAAGGCTGGGGAACCCCAGGTTATAACTAGTTTATAGCTCATTCAGGAGATTAACCTGGGTAGTTTGAATGTAAAGAAGGCCACGGAAAGATAAGCACGCCCTCGATTTCCAGAATATTCCGGTCTTTAGGAAAGGTGGCTTTTGGCCTGGCTTGCCCCAGTATATGCAATGACAGCCCACCGTCATGCCTTCTGCAGACACTGAACTGTGGGCTTGCCCTGGCCAAGACACCCGGATGAACAGGACCGGGATCTTCTGATCCCATAGCCCGGCGATCACCTCTTCCGTGCTCCTGGAGAATGGCCAAGCTGGGTCTTGTGGAGAGAGCACTATATTGGAGATCCTGACTTTGGTCAAGTCTCTGTGCCTATTTCTGACCTCTCCCCTGCAAAATGAATGAATTGATCTCCATCAGCATTTTTCAACCTTGAAACCCAACTCATCTCGTCACCGTCTTGTCTGTAGTCCCTGTCCCCCCAGTCCCAGCCTTGAACTCCGCACGGCACCCCCACACTCCATTCCGTGCTACGATGATGCTACTTTTGTTCCTTTTTCCATTCTACAGTTTATATCCAAAAATGATTTTTTTTTTTTTTTTTACCTCATCTTCATCGTCCAAATAGAAAATTTCGGTGTCCAAGGTGCTTTTGCACGTTGCACCTGTTCCCAAAGCTTTGGAAACTGCAAATTGCTGGAAATCCCAAGGCAGTACTCTCCCTCGGGTCCAGCCTGGTGACTCAGTGGAGCAGGTGGAGACTTGGGAATCTCCCCTTTCTGTTTGCCTGTAGGATTCATTATTCTCTCCCCACAGGGATTCATTAACTTGCTGCTTCCCATTCTTCATCTCTTCCAAGTGGTGTGTCTTGGGTGGGCCGAGATTTAAGTTATGCAAGGGTTGATTGTGCCAGGTGCGTCGTAGATTCCTAGGAACAGAGGTGAATGAATCTTCATGCCCTGGGGGACGGACATGCTAGTGCCCTCCCCCACCAACCTTGCACTTCCCCTGCAGAAAAAGTAGAGTTCAGGCTGGGCACAGTGGCTCATACCTGCATTCCCAGCACTTTGGGAGGCCGAGGCAGGTGGATCACCTGAGGTCAGAAGTTCCAGACCAGCCTGACCAATATGGAGAAACCCTGTCTCTACTAAAAATACAAAAATTAGGCAGGCATGGTGGCATGCGACTATGGTCCCTCCAGTCTTAACCCAGGAGGCTGAGACAGGAGAATTGCTTGAACCCAGGAGACTGAGGTTGCAGTGAGCCAAGATCGTGCCACCGTACTCCAGCCTGGGCGACACAGGGAATCTTCCCTCTAAAATTAAAAAAAAAAGAAAAGAAAATGGAGTTCAGATCAGGTCATCAGTACAGATGGGGTCACAAGATATTACGGGGGCAGAATTAGGAACCACCAGTGCAAGCTTTAGGACAAAGGGGATTCTAGCAACTTTCCTCGGAGGTAATGGCTGGTCCCAGGTAAACCCGGAAAGATACCACATGTTAAACCACGCCGGGCAGGAGGGGTTGCACAAGGAGATGCCTTTGAAGCCTGGCCTATACAGAATGTCCCAGTTTCCTCATTCTGCCAGTCGGCAGTGCGAGGGTCCTTGTTCTTATCTTCCTGATACAGAAACAGGCCCAGACAGGTGATGACTTCAGAGATGGCATCTTCAGCTTTCTAGAAACGTGCAGGATCTTTAGTAACCTTTGACTGGGGAAGCCCAAATCTCTAGGGCAGTTTGTCAACTGCACCACCTTTGACACTTGGGGCTGTGCACTGTGCACTGTAGTGTGTGAAACCATCCCTGGCTGTCACCCATGAGATGCCAGTAGTATTCCTTCCCCCACAAGTTGTGACAGCTGAAAATGACTCCAGCCACGGCCACATGTGCCCTGGGGGCAGATTAGCCTCCGCAGGTGAAATTCGATACTCATTAGTAAAATCTGGTTCCCCTCCAGGGCCCACCATTGCCTCAGTGGGTCCTTGGTGTTGGTGGCGCCCCTGAGAAACTGCCACTAAGAGTGGGAACAGGGGCAGAGACTAGGAACTGAATTCTGTCATCCAGTCAGTTTTTCATCAGGAGGGAGTGGGACTCGATAAAAAGGAGGAGCCGTTAGGAACGGACTAAGGGGGAGTTAGGCAGCGTACCCGAGGGTGGACAGCGGGTGCCCTTGTCTTTCTCTTCTTTGTCTTGTGACTGACCTGGATTTCTGGAGGAACTGTCCTCACCTTAGAACAATCTGTTGCTTTTCTCCTGAGATTAGAGGTATTAGATTCTCTCCCAAGAGCTACTTTGGAGGTTGCCCCGGATAAACGTAGCTTTTGTGTAGCTGCGTTATCTCTTCCGTGGGCCCTTTTGCCCGCCTGTTCCCAAGCACACACTGCTGAATTTTTGTTCTTGGTACATTTTCCCCTTGCTGTCCCCTTCCCTGCTTGGCCCTGTCCTTGACCGTGACTTTGCTGCTTCACCTTGATCGGAGGAGACACTCTGGGGCTATAGGACTGACGGTCCCTTCTGGGTGCTGCCCCCGCACCCCACCCACCGGCCCTTTGTGTGCCCGGCATCCCCAGCCGAGCTGTGCCAGGCTGCCCCTGCTCGGCCGGCCATTCAGACGGCTCCAGGCGGCCTCTCAGCATAGCAAGACAAGCCCTTCTCTTCTGCCCTCGTGGTCCCTGGAGTGGCAGAACAAAGGGCTCTGTCTCTGCACCAGCCCACCGCTGCAGCCCAGAGCCCCGTTCCCTTTCAGTTCCCACTGTGGCCGGGAAAGAGCCTCAGAGATTAGGCATGTTTCAGAAATGCAACTGACGAGTTTGGGTTCTACTCATTTCCTCGGCGAGACTTTCTGAGCCGGAGCCCGATGATAAAGTAGTGATTCAAGGGTTCAGCCTGTGGGTTCGTTGGAGTGATGAATAAGATGTCCTTGTCTGACTCACTTGTTTAAAACCCATCTCTGCCCTGCTGCACAGGGCCGTATGTGCGGGAGCAGGAGCCCCACCAGCGCTGTTTCATGACTGCCGTTGCTGGGTGTGAGTTTGCTAGGGCTGCCGTAACACAACCGCACGCTGGGTGGCTGAATGACAGAAATGTATTGGCTCGCAGTTCTGGAGGCCAGACGTTTAAGATCACATTCAAGATCAAGGTGTTGGCAGGGTCGGTGCCTTCGGAGGGCTGTGAGAATCTGTTCCAAGCCTCTCTCTGTTGGCTCGTCTTCCCCTGTGTCTTCATGTCGTCCTCCCTCTGCGCCTGTCTCTGTGTCCAGATTTTCTCTTAGGAGGACAGCAGTTATATGGAAGGGAGCCCATCCTAATGACTTCAGTTTAACTGAATCATCCCCATAAAGATCATGTCTCTAGGCCAGGCTTGGTGGTTCACGCTTGTGATCTCAATCCTTTGGGAGGCCAAGGCAGGAAGATCACTTGAGACCAGGAGTTTAAGACCAGCCTGGACAACATAGCGTCTTTGCAAAAAACACAAAAATTAGCTGGGCATGTTGATGAATGCCCGTGTTCCCAGCACTCTGAGGAGCTGAGACAGAAGGATAGCTTGAGCCTGGGAGTTTAAGGCCTCAGTGAGCTGTCATCATGACACTGCGTTCCAGCCTGCGTGACAGAACGACACTGCCATCT